GAGACGGCGGTGCAGTGACTTTTCCCTCGCGGTCTCACTTCTTCTTACACTCTTTCTCACCAGGATGTAACTCAAAGCTGTTTTGGGAAAGGGGTCTCCATAGCAACCCCAGGAGTTTCATTGACTGCTGTTACCCTGACAACAGCTGTGGTTGCAGCCCGGCGAGAAAGAGAAAACTCCTCCACGGGGACAGGAAATCCATTCATACTAAGCGGAAGAGTTTGAGGCATCGTGAAGTCTGGGAGGAGACAGAGAGGGGCAGGAACATGGGAGGGCATTCAGGTTACAGAGACAGGGGCCCGATTTCAGACACAGAACAATGGGAGTGGTTGAGGGGGGGCTATCCTCGAGGTAGTGAGGTGGGCAGGTCAAGAAGTGGGTGGAGATCGAGAAACAGAGCAGTGGAATGGGATCGGGTGGCAAAGTTTAGCCCCAGTCCGAGCAGCTGGGGCAGGAGAGGCCGACGTCTGAGCACAGAAGATGTAGACTGGGACAGATGCAGCGTGGACAGATGGACATGGGGCAGCAGTGACAGCTGGGAAGACAGGGGGACACACAGATCCACATCAGGCTCCAGGACAGGAGCAGAGCGCAGAGACAGCCCGGGCTGTGTGTGGAAATGTGCAGGCACCAGACGCTCAAGCTCCGGACACTTCTCCAGCCCTGAGTGGTGGACAAGTACGCAGACATACAGCCCCCAGAGTGTGATCAACACACAGTCCAGCAGGTGCCACAGCCCGCGCTCCTGCAGCCCCTGCAGCAGCACCAGCGTATCCGAGCTAAGCTGGGAGTGGAGCAGGAGCAGTACCTGCTCAGGAGTCACAGCCGATGGGTTGACAGTTAGCTCCGGCAGGACGTCCTCCGTAGCTCCAGGACTCTCATCTGAGGCCCCTCAGGAGGCAAAAAAGCAGAGCAGCCCGATGTCCACTTCATCCGGCCTTACCTCTTGTTCCTTCTCTCATTCCTCGCCTCACAGATCCTATGTTGCTCCCACAGTCCCGAGCCTCAACACACACCATTGTAACACAAGCCCTTCTCAACTTAAGGAGCCCAATACACAGTCTGACCTTGTACATAGACCCTCCGCTCCTGTCGACACAAGCAGGTCAGGCACAACTCTTCCAGGACTATCTCCGAATAAGTCTCTGCCACAGAAACCAGCCAGAATGTTGCTTCTCCCTCTCATAGGGAAACTACCTGCAATCCAGAGAAAGGCCAGAAGGAACAAAGGGTTGCTGGAGAAGAGTCAGGAGAAGGAGGGAGAGGAGGAGGAGGAGACCAGGGGCAGTGGAATGGATCCTGGAGCGGTCGTCAACAGTCAAAAATGTCCTCTGGACACGGTTGAGTCAAACCCCAGCAACACTTCAAGTCTCTGCCTGACGCGGATTAGGACTGAAGACAAGCAGACAGGTAGCGAGACAGCTCTGCCAATCAGCTTTACTGCTGAGGAGATGGACAAATACCGCCTCCTGCAAGAGCAGGCGAGAGAGCACATGCAGAAAGTCCTGGAACAGATGCAAGAGAGCGCAGATATACACGCAGAGACAAACTACACACACACGGCACAGACAGAGAACTGTGGGACTGTAGAGGAACAATACACACCTGCGCATGTGCACAACACTTCACAGCCTCAAGCCCAGTCACTTCACACAGACACAATGCAAACACAGCACACCCTCCAGGTCAGTCTCCCACTTCCACATGTGGCCCCACAAGAGAACTTCACTCAACCCATGGCTCTAAGAGTCCCTAGCCTCCCCCCTCTCTCCAGCCTCCATCATATAATTTTACAACACGCAGCCCTCTCCATGCACCCCTCCTCCTCCTCATCCTCTTCCACCTCCTCCAACTCTCCTTCCATCCACCCACACCCAGCTCAGCTGCCTCACCCCCTGCTCCATCTCCACCCCTCCCTCCCTCATCACCTTCACCTCTCTCCCTTCTCCATATCCTCCCTGTTTCCCTCCATTCTGCTGTCCCATCATCCCATCCCTCTCCTCCCCCAGCCCCCGCTTTTCATGCGACCCCACTCGCTCCACTCTCCCAAGTAGCCTTGCAACCCTTGAACCCGCAGTCTTTCATGGAGAGAGCTTGGCCAGTGAGGTTTCAACAGAAGGCATTGTGATTTTCAAAGAGTGGCTGCCATGTTTATTTATCTTCCTTGGCAAAACAGATGAGTGAGTGAAAGAGAGGAACATTTTTGATTTGATGAAAGCCTGCTATTTGAAATGGGGTTGTATCAGTGCTTTTACTAGAATCAACTCCAATCACACACACACACACACACACACACACATACACGCTTACACACAAACAGCCCAACTATTGACTGTTTTCAAATGAAAATTTGTTTCTCGATCTAGCCTCTGCTGTGTTGAAGCAGACATAGTGAAAACAGACTTTGATCCTTTGCTTTTTCCATCATTCCTCATTCAGGGCCAGAAAAAAGGGAAAGGTGCACCTGCTATTCAAAGACAAGCTGGGCTTGTGTCATCCTCTCTCTTTCCTTCTGAACCACAGACAGACCGGCTGCCTTTTGAAGTAGCCTTCATGCCAGAAACAGAGGGGCAAGAAAGAGTGATAGTACTATCCCCTTATCGCCATTTCATACAGGTTATCTGAGTTAGAGTGTGACTTTCAACAAACATAAATGACGTTCCAGGGACCGGTAGGCTAGCACATCCATTTTAACCTTGGTGTATGCTGTATTTGAGTGTGTGCAACTGTGCGTGTATAAGAGGTACTTCTGCACTGACACACACAATAGGAAGGACGGAAACTACTTTCCATATCTGACACATGTAAAGACCTGTTTTGTCTCTCTAGTGTAAATAGTCTGGCAGTGAGTAATGATATTAGAATCATGGGATACAATAAAACAAAAGGTGGATTCAACCTTGACCAGTGGTACAATGCTTATTCCACAATCAACAGCTTCAGTGATACAAACACTTCTTTTCTTTTCATTGTCATATGTGAAATGAAAGCCTTTTTTTTTCTCGACACAGCATTTAACAAATCTGTTGTTGAGACAGCAATGAATGAATCGGATCTGCTACAATAAATGTTGGGTGAAAATGAACAGTCTTAAATGCTTTTTTCTTATTCTGTCTGATTCATGTTTATCGTGCAACATGTTGCAACATGATGAATAAGCTACTGTGTGGTTTACCCCATCTCAAAGTGAGGCCCAGGACTCCTCAGAGATCTTTAGAAGATCGCAGAGCTGTGGCTCCAAACCTGTCTTACTTGTGACCCATTAGGTTGAATCAATGTCTACTTAACCCCTTGTCACAGAGTGCATGTCTATGAACTGTGAGCATGTCAGTTGGGAAGGGAATTTTCCTGTTTGTGCTGTAAGTTTTAGATGTCACAGGAGGTAAAAATATACAGTATTTCACAAAGGAAGCAAAGATCAAAAAAGAGTAAACAAAGAAAACTCTGTGGCCGAATTAAAGATTGCTCATATCCTAAACTGGTGATCATCTTGAAAGCTTGAAAAACACTATTCTAGTGTGTCTGAAGAAAAGACAATGATGGCATTTAATAGGTTTGACCAGCAAGTGTAGCAATTCATTTAATAAAAAGGTGCAAATAATGTTTAAAATGTCTTTATTCTCCATTTCTAAATTATAGAAGGATCAGTCTGAAAATGTTTTTATTGTGTCAGTCATCGACTTAGATGCTGCCCTTTTCAAAAGTACCATTTTAATAGCACTAAATTAAAGTTAAATAGGCTTAATTGAGTGCTATTATGTTATATTATCCTATTCAATGCAAGATTCTCTGATTCGTTGACCACATTTCACGTCCAGTTTGACCAGGCGCAGACGTATTAAAGCTGCTTGCCAAACAGTTGATCACTACAGTGGCCGGCACTCAGGGAGCAGAACGCAGAGGAGAACAGAGCGGCATCCAGATGGTCCATGGACTTGGACTACCCAGAGTGCTTTGAGAGATTGGATTGATTTGCCCTACGTGATATTAGTGAACACAGCCCAACACGCAGCAAGCGGTGACATGAATACAGCAACAAAAACAAGACACAAAATGTACACTCCCAGTCCTGAGGTGTTGGCTAGAAATATAAGTCAACCCCTGCAGAGATTCTGTAATTAGAGCACAATTCCTCTTTTTCCTCCTTGTGACCCCTGAGCTTGCCCGTGTATATGTGTGTGTGTGTGTGTGTGTGTGTGTGTGTGTGTCTACAATTGTGTGAGTTTGTGAGAAACAGAGAATCCCTATCTCTCTCCACAGGACAGGAGATCAAACAGACTATGTGAAATATAGAGCAGCAATAATTAGCAGCTGTTACAGCATCAAACCTCTCTATCTCTACCTCTCGCTCTGACACACACACACACACACACACACACACACACACACACACACACACATCCTACTGCTCAGTTCTTATCCCAGACTTTAATTTAGAGATACTAAAATGAGCTGCAACTTCTCAGTCCTCCACTACTGATGATTGTGGAGATGATACAAAAATCAACCCACTGCATTTTTTTGCTCCATTTTCTCTCTGTTTCTTACGCATTAAAATCACTCGCGCAGTCTAAAGGGGGGAATGCAGGAGAAGAGCCACATCAGGGAAAGCTTAAAAGCAATTACAGTACTTGAACGAAAAACACAAAGAATGTTATTTTAAAACTTCATCCATGAATATGGAGTGCTTGGGACCTCCTCTGTATTATTAAGCAAAATTAGAAGTCACACAAGGGTCACGCCGAAATAAGTAATCACGATATCACTGTACTTTCCGTCAGTGACTGATTAAATCATTACCTAAGGCCTGAGATTTGCCCCCTGGTGTGTTCATGTTGTGCTGTTTTGCTGTACGTGCGTGCGTGCCCGTGCACGTACGCAGGAGTGTGGTTTTGATTTATGATGGAGAAGAAGCGGTTTCCTCAGTCAATTGCGCCTGTGAATTAATGAGGTATAAAAAAATAAAGCTGGCACTCAGTCAAATACACCAGCAATCGCAGAGAGCTCATTGCTCTATTGGCACCACGTTTGATTGTTAGATTGTGTGGTATAGATTGCACTGAGCAAAAAGTGCCCCTCACAGCTACTGAAGCAACCCATCGACCCAAATTGCAATGCTGTATAAATGAGACACTTCTCTTGCTCTCTCCCGTTCTTTCCTTTTTTTTTATGGTCTCGCCTCTTACCCTTCTCTTTGATTCAACCGGGTCAGTGGGGCTTCAGCTCCCCCGGCTGTTCTCTGACTGCGCAGAAGAAAAGGCACCATTACACTTCGTCCTCTCAATTCCCCTCATTCAGAGGTCTACATTTGTTTCTTTTATAATTTTGAATGTTGTACAGCACCGACATTCAAAGCACAAGGTTCTTTGCAGTATTATTATGAGACAGGGAAAGTCCTTCCCATAACTTTTCTCTCGCAGTGACGTTCATTAAAATTTTTTGAGTCGTGGCGGAGCGTGACATACAATACCAGACTGTTCCACTACAATTTAAATCTTTAAACTGAATATCTGTTCCTCTTAGAAATAGTAGTTACAGCAAGGGTAATATTTCAACCCTTCTACTGAGCCAACAAATGACATTCAAAAGTTACAAGTGAAAATAGTTCAAAAGGATCAAGTTCTCTCAATATTATAGTGCACTAAAAACTGAATAGAAATTCCATTTTCTATAGTATTTTAAACAGACGGGTGTCCTCTTATCCCATTTGATCGTAAATTATCCCGCATATCTAACGATTTCAGGTCGATGCATCATTTTGCTAACTTTTGTGAGCTTCTGAACTTTAAGCTTCTCGCTTCAAAGAGTAATCTGTCACCGCTGATGCGTCAACAGACACTGCTATTGCTGCAGGTGCCATATATGGAGAGCTAAGTGGCTTCAGGCTGTTTAGAGCTTTTACATCAAAAAGATATATCACCATGTATAATTCTGAGACAGAAAAAGCACCTTCATCCTATAAAACACCATCTATTTTTGTTATACTCTATCCACTTACTGTATGCTGGGCTCTCTTGTTGAGGAGAGACCTGTTTGTGTAGGACTTGTATTATCCAGAAGTAACTATGTGAATTCTGTTCTACGATGGATTTAGGGATTAGAGGAGGTAGTGGGCTCTGTGATACTCTTAAACTTGGCAGGCGCCCCAAGGACATGACACTGTCAGCACATTGCTTACACTCAGTCGCACACACACACATACACACACACACACACACACACATAGAGGTGTAAAAGGGTATAATTTAGGAGGCTGTAATAGTGAGATGTGATGCTCGGTTGTAAGACAGCATGGCTAATTCCCCGGTTATGTTATCGCTGAGAGACAGATGTTCCCACCAAAGATTATGCGTGCACCCACAAAACAAAAGCAACACACACACACAAACTGTTCATGCATCTCTGCATGCACACAGACAATTCTCAGACAATAGAAGCAGCAGGGTAGTCTCTAAAATAGCCTTATTGACAAAAAAACACAGATCAATGATGAGGACGACTTCTCTGAGAGTTAATCATGAGTATTAGTAATGAGTTTCTGCAGAAAACACTGAAGAGAAAAGCACGTGCAACTTTTCCTCAACAAATATTTCATTTAAAACCATGAAATTAATTGAATTATGGACGTTGACCCCTTGCCATATTGATTTCAGGAAAAGCACATGTTTTCCCAATAGGACCACTGTGAGAAAAACAATATCACCTTTTAATAATCACATTAAGCCCCACGAAGCTGTGAGTATTAACCCTTTACGTCAATCAGCTGCAGAGCTTTCCCCACATCGGACACACTATATCCATTACCCAGCAAATCCATCCTATTCAGGAAATGGTTTCACTGCAGAGAATAAAGGCCATTTGATTCATGGATTCTCACAGCGGCTGTCAGGAAAACCCTTGGGTCAGATAACCATCACTCCCATTATGTCGTTGACTCACAGTTCAAATGCACGGCCACAGCATAAAGACAGGGATGTAGATGAGTGGCATGCAGTTCCTATCAGTCAATCCTCAAGTCAGGGGAGTCGATTTTGTCCTTGTTCTTCGTATTGCTCATCTGCATTTCTGTCACAGAGTGTCATTGAATATCCATTAAACCTCTCATGCATCCAAACACAGGGTGTCCGTAAGTATCCAAATAGCGGCTTTGAGAGGTTGAAAGAATAGCTTGCACACCTTGAAGCAAATTTGAGTGCTTTGCACGTGACTTCAAGAGGACATTTTACACAAGTGAATGTGTGTATAAACGGTAGAACTGCCGCTCAAAGTCCTTACTCCTCTGAGTCCTGATCGCCCTCCTCTTGTTTCCGTTTAACTGGTTTCAGCTTTAAATCTCCACATTCTAATAATTTCCCCCTTAATCCCTTAAGAGGAGCACCCCGCTTAAGTCTCTAATTAAGATCCGTGATACACACGTACTGTACATCAGCACAGGATAAACAGCACATGCACACACAGCTTGGAGCATTCAGCTATCTGACAATTGCTGCGTATATGTGTGTGTGCGTGGTTACTAAGTGTTTGTGTGTATTTCAATGATTAAATCCAAATCAGGATGTTGTTATGACGACACATGCATTTTAAAGCTGTTAATCCAGGATTATTCTCTCCTCCTCATCTCATTATGTCGATTATTAAAAAATACATACAGGCACATGCGCATACACACAAATACTACTTATGGGTTAGTTTCCCTGGAGACTGAACACATGCTGCTGGTCTCCAAAGACAGCTTGACATACAGGTAAAACCTCAGGCAGCAACTATATGCATACAATGTAATACATTTTGTGGTTTAAGCATACTGTATATTTGTAAATTCATGGACATTTGAAACACAAAAACATAAAAGATCAAATATTGCACATCTACAGCGTAGAAATATATTCATACAAGGCTGATAATTTCTGTGCTCCGGCCTCTCAGAGGGCCATTCTGGCCTTTCAGAAAACGATTTTCAGCACAGAGCGAGAAAGAATGCGAGTAAACAACGAGTGTACTTTCCCTGTGATTGAATGTGTGTCCTTGTGTAGAAACTGCGCTCTCCTCTCTCAGCAAGTGAAAACAGTCCTGCGGTGCCGAGGCTGATGTACAGGTGAGAGAATGGCCAAGGATTTTGAGATCACCCGAGGCTTTGTGTCCACTATGGTCCACTCACACTAGGTCAGCTCAGAATAACCAGAAAGGGCTGACCGCCGATGTTCACTCACCCCTGGAGTCATTAATCACTGAGCACTGCAGAGGAGCCGCATGGACACACGGTAACACACACAATAGTGTAGAAACCCACATACACACTCGAGCCCATTTTAATTATGAAGCCAAATGCTCGATGACAGCATCGCTCCAGGTAGTCAGTCCTCTAGGCCTGTACTCCTGGTGCATTATCATACATTAAACATCACAGGCATGAATATTTCTGAGCAAAGTTGGGACAACAAATAACAACACATCATATCACATTAAGCTATCAATATCTGCAGCATATACAGACGCGCACAGTGTCCCCTGAGCTTTTTTGAACACTCTTTAAAACACAAACACGCACAATCAGATCAAGGTATCTGAACCCCTGTATTGCCAAACAGGTTTTCCAGCTTGCAGCTGGGTCGCTATCAGGAGCAGGATCTCAGATAACGTTCCTATTTACTGGTTGAAAAAATTCTTCAAAGGGGCTGTGCAGCAGTGGATGCCTGTGGTGTGTTAACAGGCATGCTGCATTGAGACACTGTGGTATATGTGGGTTACAGCATGCATGTCACATACTGACCTGCACTATAAATATATCAGGGCTTCAGAAAGGTCACAACTGTTGTGTCCAATATATTTTGCAAGGTAGAAACTAATGTACAAACTGCATTTATTATGTTGAAAATTTTTTTTAATTAAATAGATGCTGGTTTAATTGGGCCAGTCAATCCCAATTTTGAGTGTTTGAAAGATTTAGAGATATTAGGGGTTGTAATGTGGAAAAGTGAATCAACTATTGTCACACTAGGTTTTTGAAATTTTCAGTCCGACATCTTTTGACTGAACCAATCGTTTTTCATGCTGTAAATGTCTTACATTTTAAGTTTTATTTTTCTCTTCGTCCCAAAAATGTTTTTCTAACGACATAATCTTTACTTTCCACAGAAAATAGCATCACGTGTACTGTTCTACAACTTGGTTCAAACTCTTACTCTTCACCTTGCTGAATTCAATTGTAAAAAATATAAAAGAAAGTAAAAAAGCATCGGTCATTGTACCATTCCATTACACTAACCCATGCCGTTACACTACGACGTAGTGACTACGTAGCCTTGCCTGAGAATTTTAAAAGGCTTTGATGTGAACTCTAGTTGGAGAAAGAGTTGCCCGTTTCTCCTCTCTGAAAGACTTTGTACCAGACACTTTCAACTGTCTAGAAGACAGAAAAACGCATGCTGCATAAGTTAATGTCGAACTCTCTCTATTGTGTCTTGCCTTGTTGAATCCAATGATTTAACCGAAAAAAGAATGCGGGGAAAAAACAAAGCAGGAGTGTAAACTGAATAGCATAACAATTCAAGGATTGCACATGAACTTGGAATATTAGAACCGTTACAAGTAGAGACAGCGTTGCATGTTGGCAGACGCGGTTCTCTAATAAGGCTCACTTCCTGTTGAGATGCAGTCTGAGAGGGAAACGCTGCTGCTGTTGTTTTGAGGATGAGCTGAAGTAATTAACGTGAATCTTTTGTGTTTGTGTGTGCGCACAAGTGCCATGTATGTTCGCTTGTAGAGACCAACGTGTGGGTGTGTATGAGAGGAAAAAGCATTCAAAGGTGTTTTGCTTTTGCTGCTGGTAAGCAGTAAAGCTGTGAAACTAATTTCTTTCATCAACATCTGTCAGGGAGATTAAGGGAAGCATTACTCGAGTATGCACTTATTTCACCAAAAGCATTAAATAACTCACTGAAAGAGATTGAGTAGACGGCTGCGTTTAATGTCGCTCTTTTGTGCATCTCACTTGATTTCAAATTTCATCTTTGATAAACTGGTGTGAAAGGATAGTCAGTACAAAAGGCACTTTAAAGAGTGCACTATAACATTTTAACAAGAGGGAAGCATGATGGGGAGAAGGGAAATCACAGAGTACAGGCAAAGGGGCGGTTGTCAGTGTTGCATGGGGGCCTCTGCATCGTCGTCCTCCTCCTCATCACTACAGGGTTCATAGTCTTCATCCAAGGCCGGGTCTCCCTCCTCCCCCTCCAGCTGTCCTCCCAGATCGCCCAGCAGCTGCTCCACGTGTTCCAACATCGGCTGGTCATCACATCGCAACTTGCTGTACAGCTGGGGAAAAGGGGAGAGGAGACAAAAAGGAAAATGAAAGTGTGTAATGGGCTAGTAAGTAGACTGGAAAAATGAAAATTTGAAATAGAAAGTAGGTTATACAGCAGAAATGTGGAGAACGAAAATTGTACCGCGGAGGCAATACACGAAATGAGATATGGTGAGTGAAAAGCCCTCGACCGAAGCTCTTCCATTGTGTCACTGAAGATAACGGTGCATCACCACAGCATCAGTAAGCAGCAGCTTGGAGTTGAGGGAAGTGAGCAGCCCCGAGGTTTTAAGTCTCCAAGTGCTGGTTAGGCCGCCTGAAATATCCAACAGCAGCTGCATTCTGTGAGTGAGGCAGTCACGCTCGCAAAACGCTGGTAAACAGTTTTTGTCTTTCATTTGGCAAATCAGCACATTTGACACACCGCTCATCCGTACAAGAGACAAAAAGACCATTTATCTTCCTTTTGCTTTTGCGACATGCATGCACACACACACACACACGCATGCAGAGAACTGTATCCTGGAGCACATATGGTTATGTGGCGCACATGTGCACTTACACACACACACACACACACACACACATATTATCAAAGTTGTTATCTCTGTGAAATATGCCGTGAAGGAGCAAGATAAAAAATTTTTTTTAAAAAGTCCTGCTCTCAAAGCAGCCAGCACATTTATCTCTGTAAAATACTTTGCTTGTGTCTAATTACTGAACTCAAAGTGGAGTTGGGTGATAAAACTATCGGAGCTACCACCAAGGACAGCAAAGCATAACTATGTGTTTCAGACTGGGTGCATATACAGCGTAAGGGGAACTGATACAGCAATTTATATCTATGCTTTTCTTTCCAGAAAGAAAACTAGAGAGAAAAAGAGGGTGAGTGGGGAATGGTTCATGAGATCTAGGAATATTATTCTATTTAGTCGAACATGCACACACACACTCTCACACATGCGCACACAGTCCCTTGAGCTCATGGACAATAAGCAGCTGAGTGCCATCATTCTTACTAAAAGTGTAACGAGGCCAGAAGAGTGAAGAAGAGTGTGTGTGACTGCTTTGCCCCAGGACCAGTCTCTAAGCAACAGCAGGTCCTGACAGGGGACACGCAGTCCCGCGGGAACTCATTTGGAGTGTAAGAATACGTAGTGTGTGTGTGTGTGTGTGTGTATGTGTGTGTGTTTAAGTGGATGCTGTCTCCAGGGAGTTGGAGCGTGACCCAGGTCCAGGCTCAGGGTCTGATACCGGGGGAGAGCTGACCCTCTCAGCCTCCTTAAAGCACCACACACACACACACACACACACACACACACACACAGAGGCGAGAAAAACACAGATTTTCATTCCGCCAACGTCACTCTGAAATGCCTGGAGATGTTTATCCACAACAAGCCCAAAGAATACATGTTGGGTTTGCTTTACAATAGGCTTGGCTCAATAGCCAGCATAATTGCACATTACAGCCTTGGGTACGACATGGAGGGTGTCTTTCATATGAGTCGCGTAAGAGAAATAATAAAAGAGAAATTCAGTGAATGTGTGCAAAAGAAAAAGAAAAATACTGTATGTTCTAGAATACCGAATGCCATTTGGAAATTGTATTTCTGCGTGGTGATATTTTGTACGAATCAATAACATAGTGTGTCTGCTGGATAGGATGTAATTATTCATTGCGATGCTTTCAGCTAGCTAAACAAACAGCGGCTATTCTTTACACATTTCGCAGCGAACGCTGCTGAGATCAGCATCGCCGTCGCAAGAAACGCAGGCATTTCTCATTTACCACAGCCTATGTTTTCTCTTCTCACTTTCACGGCCCAGAGAGCTGCCTCGAGAGGGAGGGAGAGTGTGTGCGTGTGTGTGTGAGTGTATGCAATCGTATAACTCTTTCATCGTCCACTTTGCTCTGCTTTCAAGCCCCCGAGTCACAGCCCAAAGCACAATTGACCACCGCCATAACAACACACAACAATCATTTTAACTTGCACACAAAGGGGCACATAGACACATCTGTTCTAACCATCTACTCGCTAGTCTTTGCAGCCGCGTTAGCGCCATGACTCCAGGAATTTGACATTGGTGTTGAAGAGTGATATCTTGACAACTATTGGATGGCATTTTGCAAAGTCGAAATGTTGTACAGACCTTCATGGTGCTTTGAGGATGAATTTGAACAACTTCTGTGATCATCTGACCTTTTTCTCAACACCATCATCAGCTCAACATTTAGAACTGTAGTGTAGTTTGTTTTCAGTGCTGATGCATGGCTGTATATTCTTAGTCTTGTTCATGTGATGTTGTTGAAATGATAGAGTAGTTGTCTGTTTCTTATACTGGACAAATGGTCAAATGTCTTTCATCTCAACATAATCTAAAAAAGAAATAACCCACAATGCAGCCACAATGTATCCTGTTGAATTCAAGCGATTACTATATTTCTGTACTTTTTAATTAAATTGTTTCATTACATCTTACTGCTTGCTACGCATATTGTGTAACTCAATGTCCTTTGCTACTCTATGTTCAACTGGGAACTGGCAAACTTCTAAACCGGGAAACCAACTTGAAACTCTATTTCCAAACAAGAAGTGGCATACATCAACAGCGCTGGCAAGTTTGACTTCATGATGATGACAGTAGCAGCTCCAGCTCTTGGTAACAGAATTGAATCGTATGGATGGATGGATTTTAATACAAAACAGAATTATGTTCCCTTAAGGTGCACGATGCAGCAGGGCTTCTGGAGCCGAATGAGGTCTCACCCTGTTTATGGTCATTATATTGCTTTCTGCTTAGTTTAAAGTACAGACTTGATAGTGAAAAAGTAAAAAAAGAAAAAAAAGAAAAAGGAAATGTACCAATAGATACGAATACAATTTGTTGTACCTTTATTCATTTCTTTCTCTACAATTGCTTACTACGTTTGGCTACATATTATAGTGTGGTTCAGCATAGATTATCTGTAAGGTGCTATCGTTTGTCCCGTGTGCAGCAGAGAAAAGTGGAATAATAAGCACTAATGTACCCTTCATACGTAAATTGATTCTTTCCCCCTCATTCTTTGATAGAAACCTCTTTCTACAGCTCGTATGGCAGAATAAAGACAGGCTGATTATGTGGTGAAAGACTAATCATACCATCATTGTTCACCTTTTGTTCCACACCTATGCGTAACTTCCCCTTTCATTTCACCTCTTCTAATGACTTCATTCTTCCGCCTTGTCTTTTGACCATTTTCCTTTTGCCTTCTGTCGCTCCCACTCGTACACGCTCACCAAATGACCTTCCAGTCAAGGAGATAGATACCTCTTCATACGTTCACATCTTATACTTACACACACACACACACACACACACACACACACACACACACACACACGTCTACCATACTGGCAGAAATGGCTCTCTATCCTCAACCCATTTTTAGACCAAACACAGCACTCCAGCTGCACATCTCTTCATTAGTAAGAGAACATTAATTAGATGAACCGTTTCAACACATTTTCTTTCTCTTAACTTCTGTCTCACTTTGTCATAAAAACATACACAGACTCCCTCACTGGCAAGTGTGTGAGATTCGACCTCCTTGAGTGTGAACAGGCCATGTCGCTGGAAGTCTCAAGCGGGCTGAGCGCAAACTCTCTCACTCTCACACACACCCACACACACACACACACACACACACGCACACACAAACACCCACACACACAAAGCACAGACCGACACAACTTAACACTTCAGTTCTCGAGTCACATCCTTGGTAGGGAAAGGCATTAAAATTACATGACAAGCACACCTTGGTCCAACCCTCCCCACAATCCGTGCTCATGGGATACCCTTTCAGACACATCAAATAGTAAAGCTTTTGACCTCCGTTTGCCCTATCTGCCTCTGTGCACACACACACTCACGCACACGTACACACATATATAAAATTGTCCTCTGTGCATACACTGCAGATCCTTCTTCAATCGCACCCTATCTGGCTGAGACTCAAATTCCATTTCACGTCCGGTTTACTATTGATTTTACCCTCGCCACTATTCACCAGCTACACCCCCTGCACACACACACACAAACACACACACACACACGCACACACACACACACACACACACACGCACACACACACACACACACACACACACACTATCCAATCTGTTCCCTTCCTCGCCTCCCCTTTCATTCTCCCACTCCTGCTCACCCTGCTGCTCCTCTCCTACACTTCTTTCTTGTCTTCTCAACCCATCCGTTCCTCCCCATCATTCCTTTTTATAGTATCTCTGCTGAACGCAATCTCTGTGTGTGTGTGTGTGTGTGTGTGTGTGTTTTTGTGAGAGAGAAAGAGTATCGATCACAGCTGAGGTGGATAATGAATACAATTTTTTTTAATAATTAGATATTCAAGTTGGCACACACAACCATTATTAAATATGTGCATCCACATAAGGTGCACAGAGCCGCATGATTCTCTCACTGTCTCACCGTCTCACATCACACACACACACACACACACACACACACACACACACACACACACACTCGCACACTTAGCAAAGTCATACAGTATGCAGAGAAGTTGACTGGCGCCAAAACAAGCCGTTGGGCTTTGAGGTCTCATTTCCATGTTGGAGCCCATTTTAACTAGCAGACTGACTTATCGTTAATAATTAACACTCACAGTGATGCTCAGAAACAAAAGCTCTGATATAAACAAGGGAGAATCTTGACTACACAATGTACAGATGCACACACACATGAGCAAAAGCTGCCAGATGGGGAAATAAGTGAACCACAGTAGGGGCTTTTCTCTCCACATTCCACCTCACCTTTGCAAGGTCTTCGTGCATTTGCCTTTCACATTATTCTGCGCCTGTTGCTTCACACACTCTACAGCTATGCTGTTTACTTGTCATGCTCCGCCGCCTCACCAATTCTTCAAAAAGTCTTTCACCTTTTTATTCCTTTGCAGTACTTAATTTCTCAATTGCCATTTCTTTCTTTTATCTTTATTAAACTCTTACTACAAAGCCGGCAGCTCAAATGTGCCGTGTGCCTTTGTTTTCTTCCGCACAGTTTCTTCTATTCTCCCTCTTGGCAGCTCAAAGCACACCTCGCTCCTGTCCCCTGTGGATGCTGGTTAGACAGGCCTGTCACTGCGCTGCTGGCCAGAGAGACCGACATTAATACATCGCCACTCTGCTGCCCCTACTCATCTGTAGAGGAACACAATGTTGTGGGAGAGCAGGAGGGAAGGTGGGTAGTGAGGTGGCGAGGTGAAAAGGAGAGGAAAGTAAAGAGAAGGAAAGAAAGAATCGTAGGTTGGGCCTGCTATCCGTCAAGTCTTTGCTGTCTGATTTACAAGCCTATTGGATTTTAGACTAACATGAATCATGGCCCCAAAGAGGCATTGCTCCCTGACAGAATGACAGAACGAATGAAACACATCACTCCAAGTGTGCGTGTGTGTGTGAGGGGGAATGGAAGAGAGACAGCGGTATATTTAAACCTCTTTGAGATAGTAAGAAAAAACATTTCTTTGGCAACAATAGAGCTTAGTTAAAATCCTCTCACAGTTCCAGGACTGCATGTACTCCATCTCTGACAAGGACTGGTTCTTAAGAGTTTGACCTATTCTGACTAGATGTAACTATCCGTACCCACATCTGCCATGCACAGTGGTGGAAGAAGCATTCAGAGCCTTTACTTAAGTAAAAGTATCACACTTGTGAAAATACTCAATAATAAGTAAAAGGCAAAATCTCACTTAAGTAAAAGTATGAAGTTTTTTATCAGGAATACCCTGAGTATCAGGATAGTACCACAAAGTACTGCAGATTAATGGCCCTTATGTGTGCTATATTCTTGTTTGTTACACCATTACATTATTATTACTCATTGCATTTTTATATAAGCAGCTTTTAACCCGTGTTGTTGGTTGAGGTGAAGCTTAATTATTTTATATACGGCTGCAACTAATGATGTTCATGATGGATTAATCTGCTAATTATCGTCCCGATCAAACCAGTAGCAGTTTGCTTTGTAAAAAGGTAAGAAATCGTGAAAATGCCCATCACAACTACCCAGAGCTCAAAGCGACACCGACCTCAAAATGATTCAGTCTCCTGCAATTCAATGTTTGGCATTTTTGCATGAAAAATGGCTTCAATGATTGGTCGATTAATCAACTAACTAGATAGATAGATGTAGTGGAGTAAAAAGTACAATATTTCCTTTTGGAATGTAGTCGAGGTGATGTGTAACGTGTCCTGAAATGGAAATACTTTAGTGAGGACACAACTGCGTCAAATATGTACTTAAGTACATAACTTGAGTAGACGTCCTTACTTACTTTCCAACACTGGTAAAGCACTATTAAAATAATTATCAATTAATTCAGTCGCATTGATATACTTTACAGCAGTATTTGCTTTGTGGACAGATTTTCTGAGCTGAATTACCTTCGTAGCGTTGGTCAGGTACGATCTGGCCGCCTCCTTCAATGCATTCCACTCCTCTGTCTCCTCCTCTGTCACTTCTCTCCCATCTCTTTCCTGCTGCTCCTTTGCTTTCTCCAACTGGAGGCAGCAGACCCAGCCGGAGAGATACCACACCTGGGAGGCACAGAGGAAGAGAGGCGGGTTGGGGGTGTGGGGAGGATTCAGACAATTGCAGTAAGTGAGCTGTGACAAGGGTAAACACATTCGTAACCCTCACGAAGCACGTCCGCATGACATCCCACATCCTTCTCTGACAAACAGGTTTCACACACATGACATGGAATCCCACACACACACACGGGCAATCAATCACTCACATCATAACTGTCAACCTGATCCAATCTTGACATATATACGGTTCTCATTTACAAACGATGCATGCATGTAAATGCACATGTGCACATAGTGTAGCTTAACAATGAATTCAGACCCGACATGTGACTGTGCCATCTGTCACTACCAATTTGTTTATCTTTCTATAGCAAAAAGTGCATTTAATTTGTTGAAACGTATACCAAAACATAAGGCAAATGTATTCTCTGCATTTCAAATCATATCATACTCACAGGTTGTGTACAGTATTAGCCATTCATTTAGAGGAAATTATGTTTAATAATCTCTTTATCTGACTAGTAATTATTTTTATTCCACACATAATTCTGCCTTGATATGAATTGTGGAGGAACAGAAGTACCACAGTCCTGGGGCCTGAACCACGGACACAGAGATTGAATTTACAAGAAGGTTCATGTAGGTTCAATGACTACATTTTGACATGAGACCAGTAGTATCATCTGATACAGAGCTTTAGAGCCATCAATGTGCCTCTTCTGTTGCAAACGTGCAACCCTTAACACGATTATGACACAGACACACATGACTCATTTCAAGAGTGCACCATGTAGACGAGGTGTTAAGGATCTCCTAACTGGCTCTGATTGAACTTCATGAAAACCTCATGAATATATGTAAAATTCTAACAAAAAAACCAAGAACATCCCTTTGAAATAGTCCTGTTGCTTCACAGAGTTCAAACAGTGAGTGGAGGCATATTTCAAATTGTAAGTAGGTAAGCTGAAACACACAAAACATTCTTTCTTTTCCATAATCACATTTTTTTTTTCCTCCCACATAATTACATATACTGTGCTATGCTTGCTCTTCCACCTCTACACACAATCATTTTCAACTCTCAGTGAACTTGGAAGTGTGTGTGTGTGTGTGTGTGTGTGTGTGCGCCTCTCATCTGAGGCCAAAGATCACCCACCCACTGTTCTTCAAGCACCAAGACACAAATATTCACTGGATTCATTATTCATTAAGGGCAGAGGCAGTGGGGACCTGCACCTCTGCCAAATAAACCATTTAGCTAAAAAAAAACACATCAAGGCGTACCACACTGAATTCAGAAATGCCACTAAGCATGCTGAGTGGGTGGCTACCCCCTGCAGCCATACTTAACAGAACAACAGCAGCACTGGATAAATGTAGTTATGTGGCAGAACCAGCAGTACGACATTTATATCAGTGAAACATTTTCTGAGAATGCAGAAATGTGCCCTTGTGAATATTTGTGTATGTCCGGGAGAGAAAGTAAAAATTGGGTCAGTTAAATTTAAAAGTTTAGCTTCCACTGCATGTCTTTAAAACAGCTAGAACAATCTTTACAGATGGTCCACCGTCAAATATTTGTGTATGCGGTAAAGACGACTTCCACACTTCAAAATTGAAACAAAACAAAAGTTGGCTAATTGAGAATTTGAGAGAAGCCGCTCTTCACAACCGCAACCCCAGACAGAAGAAGCACACATAATAAAATAAACTCTTGTCTGTCAATCAAATCACTGAGACTATTGTCACTTCAAAGTGAAGGCACATCTTAGTTCCCATATGGTGCGGAAGAGGGAGGAACAAAAGCATCATGAATCAACTGAATACCTTTGAAACAAGATTTGCAAGGAATCAGCTCAGTTGTTTGTGCAGACGTAACATTTTAGAAGTACGGCTCCAACTTTGAGATATACGCCAGAGCAAGAAGACGGAGACGAAAGCGAACAACTTATCTACTGCACTTAAGAGAGGAAATAAGAAAGAGAGTAAGACAAAGAGGGGAGGAGAGACGGGGAAAGAAGGAGAGAGAGTAGTCAAATGTGTCAGTCAGACACTCCAGTCACCAGTATGACCAGCAACAGAACTGTGGTGCAACCTGACAAAACACTTTCTGACCATCAGAACTGGTGCCTGTATGCATGTGTGATTGGCTGCTGGCCCGCTCAAATCGATTGTCACAGCTGTACGTCTCTGGAGCAAGTTTAAAAGTTCAGCCCCCCAATGATTGCTCCCAATCTGTCAGCTCAGGGGTGTGTGTGGGAGGCTGAGCCTGAGGGGGAGTGGGGGGGAGGGAGAGACAGAGAGAGAGACAGAGAGAGAGACTGCTGTGTTCTTGAATCTGACACTCAGTGGTAAACCTTCACTTCATCTGCCACTGACAGAGGGGATTTGGAGCACAATGACAGCACATACTTCCTACTAAAGCACAGCAAATACTGTCATTTACGCCACTCTCTAATAAGCATTCAAGTTCTCAGACATACATCGTCGTGTACGAGCAAGTAATGACAAAGTCTGGGCGTGGAGACACTTCTTTGTGCGTGCACATAAACAGTGGCTCAACAGAAGCAAAGAGGTGCACAGGCTGAGGCTCTCTCCTTCCCCCTGGGCTGATAAAAGATCGGCCGACAAGTTGGGCTGATCCAGCAGTAAGACTGTATCACAGCAATAAGACATCCTACAAGAGGACACGAGAAAAGACATCGCTTAATCCTACGTCCTGACAAGTAACACACACGTGCACACACATCCGTGCACACACACGTGCATAAACAAATCAAAGGTGTGGGCTGTGATTCAGAGGTCTGGAACCACAAGAGAGAGAGAGAGAGAGAGAGAGAGAGAGACCGCCATGCTGGAAATATAGAAACAGTTAAAGCAAAACCAGAAACCCACATTTTCAGAGGCACAAAGCTTCTCTGTATTTTACCACATTATAAAAAATACAAAATGAAAACAATGAATGAATGCAGACAAGCACAGTTTTTAGACATTGCTTACCTGGACTACTTCATCATCCTCCTCCAGAAGACCCTCCAACACATCCACCGCCATCTAATGCAGAAAGACAAAGAGACTGAAATGAGATTTGACATAATCTTTAACATTGACAGAATAGTCAGACAAGAACATTACTTTTAAGGTTCAACAAATTCATCAGTACACACTCATTGATACAGCCTCGATCCATTAACAAGCAAGTAAGCACGTTGCACACGGTGTTGAGCATCTCCCAGGCAGCTCGATCAGAGCGATCAGAAGGTCTGATAAGCGTCTAGATCGGCGTCTTATACACAACATCGTCGATACCAACAAGACAACAGACTTGGCCGTCGATAGACACACTCACCAGTGCTTATCGCACAGTCAACAGTCACTCTGGCTGCTCTGTTCGATAGCCCTTTTAATCCATTTACAGACATCAGCAGTCAATATATTGCTAACCAGCATCACCCCATTGGACGCATTAATAAACTTAAATATCAGCCTGACCCATCCTCTCTATCACACACCCCCCCCCAGCCCTCCCTCTCCTTTTAAGGTCTAAACTGAGTTTAATGTTAGGTGACCTTTACCAGAGAGCCCCACTGTCTGGGTCAGACTCTGTGGGAAGTTTCTTTTACAGAAAACAGACCTTGACCAAAGTATGCCGTGTGTTTGGTTTGCTCTGCCTCTCTCCTTGCGGATGCTGTGGTTTTGGTGTGTGTGTGCGTGTGTGAGAGAGGCCCCAGGTGATGATATATTGATTTGTGTCAACTTCAGGTTGGAGGCGACTGTTAGACAATCACCCATGGTGAAGGGCAAGAATAAAAGACACGCACGCACCCGCGCATGCACTCACACACCGCCGCAAAGTCACACACTATAACAAAGCTACACACAACAGTGAGCACAACAAGCAGCACTTGTTTTTTGTTAAGGCAGTCTTATTAGCTGGAGAGCTTCCTCATTTCCTCCCGCTCTTTGGACTTCCCTCTTCTTTTCATTAAGCTTACATGCTTCCGGTGGCAATAAAGAGGTGAGCTGTCCGTGTAGACGGAGGGAGAGTCAGGTTAATTGAGGGTATCTCATTAAGAGTGTGCAAATGTCCGTGTCAGGGAGTCCGTTGATTGATTGCTCGACCAATTATCAGCCGAAAACCCCCATTGTCTTTAATTAATTAACGACTGATTAAAAATACACAAACAAAAACACCTAATCCCAGTTGACGATGAATGGATTCATGCCCAGCGTCAGAATGATCCACTTGACTTTCATTGTACCACACCGATGTGACAGGCAGACACACAACCACGCAAAACCACACGCATACACACACTCGGAGTATGTCAAGCTAAGCCCTAGATATTAGAGATAGGAGTAAAGATCTGTCTGGGTATTAAACAACTGCTAGAACAGGCAGTCTTTTGGAGCAACAAAAATAGAACAAGAGATATCTGGGAGCCAGGATAAGTAGCAATGATAACCATTATATCATCTCCAACTGTACTCCTTCCTAACTACACCGGTCAACCCAGAGGCGAGTGATTAAAGATTCAGAGATTCTTAAGCCGCTTCACGCTCTAAACAACAACACGATTAATATTCGCATGAAGATAAGGGGAAGAGAGGAGGCACTACGAGGGAAAAAAGTGTGAAAATGGGAAGGAAGGGCACAAAAAAGTATCTTAATAAACAATGTGAAAGTGGTCCACGAACAACGGTGCACGGCAAAGACACACAAACACACACGGCAAAGACACTCCGTACATGCTGTCCTCTTTCTTTCAAGACCTGTTAAAGATTTTAAAAAAGCAACACTCTGGGGAGAAACTCATTTATAATGGCCATTGTGTGTGTGCACAGTTTGTGTGTGTGTGTGTGTGTGTGTGTGTGTGTGTGTGTGTGTGTGTGAACTTCAGGCAATTTTGTTTAACAGAATAATTTTACCGGAGCGCATAGCAGAGACAGGAGAAAGACAAATCACTTTACAAGCGAGGGCAAGCAGTATCTCTAACACACAGAGACTCATACAAACACACACACATGCACGCACACACACACATGCATTGCACGCATAAACAGGGACATCTACACTTAAGTAAATAAATCCTGGGGATGTCTGTGCTAACTGTACTTGCAAGCCACATTGGAAAGTACAAGCTGCTCTCCATCACGAGCTAAATTTAAGAACAGAAATGTTCGAGGAATAACATAAAAGCTGACAAGAGTGACAACGACAAGGAGAGTAACTAACCATCAGCTGCTGTGAAAGCTACGCCGAACAGACACCTTAATGGCTGTTCGGCGTAGCTTTCACAGCAGCTGATGGTTAGTGTCTGTGTGTCTGTGTGTCTGCTACGTGGCAAGTGAAGTAATGGTGGTGATGGGTGATGATGATGGAAATGTGTGTGTCTGTGTGTGTGACAGTGACAAAACTGTGGTCTCTGAGGGCCGCATTGTTACTACAAAGCACATTTGTTTTTCATTAATAAAACAAATATAATAAAACATGAATAGGGCTACAAATAATGATCATTTCATTATGAAATAATCTCTTCATAGATGGATTTCTTGTGGAGTTTTCATTATTCAAATGAAAGAAATTATTGAAAAGCTTCGTCAAACTGATTATTTAGTGCAAACAGCCGTTTCAAAACTCAAAGATATAATTACATAAATTGGTATAAAGCAGCAAATCGTGACATTGGGGAAGATGGAACCGGAGATTGGTGTTCCTGCTTGATAGATGACTAAAACGATTAACAGATTAGGAAAATATTTGGAAATTATTCAGACAATCATTTCCGAACTGGTTTAGTCTTTAAAATATCAGAAAAAAGTGAAAAATGGCCATTACAGTTTGCCCACAGCACTGCCTTGAACTGTTTAATTCCTCCGACCAACACTCCAAAACCCCAAAGATGAAAAGCAGAAAAGCAGCGGATTCTTGTTTAATATTCATGAGTGACAACAATTAATCTTCCATCCATCAACATATCTATTAATTAACTAGCTGTTTCAACACTACAAAAACTGGCCCAGAAATATTTAAGCAGATATTTTTGCAGTTGTCTCACTTATGCTGCTTTTCGAGCACCCCTGGTGTGCTTCAACTCAATTTCCATTACAGATATGGAAATCAGACACATTTGGCACGAATTCAAGTCTCTCCTCAAAAGCAAGGGAAAAAAAGACCCTGAAAAGCAATTTGTGTTGACTTTTTCCTCTTTCCAAATTAAGTTGCACAGATCATCTTGCTGAGAGAAGATTTTGGTTTTCAAGAATTTAGTAGCCCAGTTTGTTTTTCTCCAATGCTAGTTTATTTGCAAAGAGCATGAGACGAGTACCAATCCATCGGTTGACGTCATGGTTACTCTTGACCCCTTATTTTTAGGTAACTCAAGTATCATAAAATAACCACTTCCTCAGCCAAATTGAATTTCATTTTGAACTTCTCATAAGCACTGAGCTTACAAATTGGTCGGAAAATTCTCTTTTAAAAAGGTTTTTTTCCCCCTCAAAACCGTTTTGGAAGTCATGGCAGATTGTGTTTTTTAAAAGCTGATACTATAATAATTTATGCACATTCCTACTTTGGGTTTAGCATTACTGTTGCAGAGGCTGCCCACTGGCGATGAATTGGTGACCGCCTCTATGAATGTCATGAGAAAGCAATTGGCTTTAATGAAATAACCCCGAAGAAACTCTCAAGACAAAAAGGTAAGCGGTGCTATTTCAGATAGCAAAGGTCATATATTCAATGTGTGAGCCATTTGTGTGGGCCGTCACCGAGTGAAGCCACAAACGACAGGATGTCCTCTACCTACCATTGACCAAGATCTGTCACCACCATGCTCTACAGTGATTTCCCAACTGTCGAGATAATATCATACACCCAGATCATTTGGACAACTTAATCACACTATTATTTTGCCAAATGTCTAATTTTCTCAAACTCAAACCACATAATGGCCCAAACTGCATTCATCAGACAAACAGCTTAAATGCCAACAGAGACAGACAAATGCTTTTTGACAAAGAACAGGGTAGTTCTTCTGCCACTTCTGCTTTTCTAAAACAAACTATTATTTACCAGGAGGAGCATTATAATCTATGAAGCTACAGAAAACCCAAGTTATCTAAATGTGTTTCTTTGGCATATATATAAATTAAATATTCAAAGCCATGGCTCAGTTCGGAAGACTAAACTAAATATCCAATAGGGAATAAATACAGACAAATTGTCGCACTCTGGCGCCCTGCTAAGACGGTAGCCTTCAAACTGAACAGACTGGAAGCACACAACTTTACAGCGTTTAGGTGTGAATAGATTTATAGTCCACAGGGAGAGATGGTGAGCGCAGAAATGAGTGAATGTGTGTGTGTGTGTGTGTGTGTGTGTGTGTGTGTGTGTGTGTGTGACAGAGGAGTAGAGGAAGGAAAGGGAAGCGAGGATGTCCCTATCAAATCCGGCTAAGTCCCAGTCTGGGAGAGACGGACAGAAAATAGCTCGCTTCTACTCCACTTCTATACGTAAGCTCAATTTCCCTCAGAAACGTTCACATAGCTGCTGGATAAAAAGCATATGAGCAACCTTGTTCATGGATGTGTATGTGCAAACATATCCACACAGCAAAATAAAGCACTCAGAATGTGTGCAGTTTGTGTTTCAGGCGTGATGACACCAACAGGAGGATGAAGACAAACGACATGTCAGAAACTGTGGACCGGGACGTTGTCATTTTACTGACACACCTGACAGCCCATCTCCTAGACACACACACACACACACACACACACACACACACAGATATAACTGCAGCTGAACCATTTAGGAGTGAGGGGGGAGAAAAAGGACACTGTTCTCATTTCCTGTCAGTGATAACCATAAACCACTCAACAAGAGTGACTAGAAATTAATCAGTGGATCACAACAGAAAATAGTTGAAGCGCTGTTGGTTTGCCAGTAATCACAGAAAATGACTTCAAGCGTTAATGACTGCAAAGGGTTTTAGCACCGAAATGAAGGCAGTGAGCCACTAAAATCGAGGCCATTAATACTAGAAATTGATGAGTGATCTAGAAGTGCTCCGTATCACAGATATGGCAGCAATTCATCAGACTGCCCCCCCCCCCCCGCCCCCCCTTCCTTCTACACAACCCCCCTCCCCTGTGCGCCCCCCTTACCCCTGTCCCTCTCTGTAAATACCACTCTTAAATTATTGACACTGAACTCTGGAGGGGATAAAGACCAGGCATGGCCTTCCCACCTCCAGTGCTATTCACTAGAAAGGAAAGCACTCCAACGCTGACGCTCACACACACACACACACACACACACACACACATACATACAAATGCCAGGCCAACCTCCCACCATGAAACAAATAGAGACCAACAACAGCACAGTGCACGGGCACAACGTTGTACCTCGTATTCCTCCGACTCGATGAGCAGTTTGGCTGTGGTGACGCGAGACTCGTACGGCGGGATGTCATTCTGGAGAGAAAAGACAACACCGTCACCTCTACAGCGTTCACGCAAACATAGTTCTTCATTTGTCTGATAATAACTCTGTCCAATTTCAAGGTACGCAACATTCTGCAGCTACGTGGCTGTTAATCACAGCAAAAGTGTGGGCAGGCTGAGTTGAGATCAACCTGCTCCTACAGATAAGAGTCGTAACTGTGGTGCCGCTGGGATGTTTCTCTCAAATCATCACCCCCAACCCCTCTTATATCACATTTGCTCACTATCGACTTGGTGTCATTGAGAACCCATCCTTACTTTGACATTACAACCATTCCTTTCTTTATGCCAAATTCCCTGACGTAATTTGCTGATTTATCTGTTATACACTTTCCTGGTTTTGCCTTGTGCTTTCATATACGCACACACACACAAAAGCACACAGGTTTGCGAAGTAGTTGTTCCAGTCTTTCTACTTTTTATTATCCCTCATTTTGTTATCTCTTACTTTTTATCTCTACTGTGTACTCGTGTTTGTGCTCACTGCAAAGCACACTGTGAAAATCCTGTTAGTTGAAAGCGCTTTATAAATAAACTGGGATCTTATGAGTATTTGTTGCTATCAGAGAAATATTAAGCACAGCTCCGACTCACCTGCATGTCTTCTTCTGTGCTGAAGGAAGCCGCACTTTGTTTCTGGGCAGGTAGCCACGATGCAACACTCTTCAACAGGTATTCTTTGCCTTCCTGAAGACAGAAAAATGCATTTCAACTACAATTAAACCTGCATATATATATATATACATGGAGATGAAGACACACAAGTCAAACAAAATAACAAAATAATAATGAATTAAAATCCCTTTTACAGGCTGGATCATGAATGCTCCAAAGATGTCAATAGTCTTTTGATTAAACTGAGGTCAGGTCAGGTTAATAATATTTTTTAATTATTACCAGAATATCACTAAATAGACTTTTTCTGTATGTGTGACGATATAAAGTGTGACAAGAGCCAGCCTGACCCCTACAGCTTACAGCTAGTACTACAGATCCACTTCAGCCCGACTGAACTTTCCATTAAGTGCCTTTCCATTAACAATGCACGGGTTAGGATGTCGCTGTGAACAATTGTTGCTATATTTTTACTCTCTTTATTAAATGGTCTCCAGGAAACATTGGAAGAGTGTTGTTATGTCTTAAACATGAAATCCCAGTCTTGTAGCATTTTTATTTTACAAAAGAACTGTAAAAGGATAAAAACCATGTGTTATTATTCAACTCAAAGATACATTAGCGAACCAGATAACTCACAGGCTGCAACGTCAAAAACAAAATGGGTCACATTCTTAAGCATGCTCCACATACGTATCTCAGAGAAAGGTTTTGCCTTGAATGTAGTCTGCCCTTAATAACAGTTGGTAGAGCAGCAATACTTTAAATATGTCTTGAAAATGAAACATTTTTTTCAAAATGAGAAAAAAATTGAGAAAATTTAATTAAGACATTCTTCCAAACTCATTGTCAGATGCTTCATATGGCAAAATTGAGTCCAATAGGCTGCTGCTCTGTCATTTATCAGATGACTATATGACCTCAATGATCTGCCCAGTAATTAACATTCCTATCGGCATGACCTGCCTGAGTGTGTGTGTGAGTGTGTTAATGTGAGTGTCCATCTGCTGATTAATGGCATACAATTCAATTTGCTCAGAATAATTAACTCAGCAGATTCCCACTTTAATATGGTGATAACTCATCCAGTGTGTGTGTGTGTGTGTGTGTTTGACTGACCTGGTTTCTCTCTGTGCTGAACAGGTAACTTGCCATGAGCTGTAGAGCCTCAGAGTTGTCATGGTGATACTGTAATGCACGCTCAATGAACTCCTTGCACTTGTCTGCAGCTCCCTCTTCCATGCTACACACACACACACACACACACACACACACACACACACACACACACACATATACACAGTCAGAGAGAGAAAGACAAATCTCAACTCATTAAAACAAAGCAGTAACATGAATTGGGGTTACAAGTGTCAAGAGTGCTACTCTGTGTGCTGTAGTACCAGAGGTCCGTTAGGTAAATCTCAGCCATGGAGCAGTAGGCTACACAGACATCCTTCGCTGTGGGGAGCTCGGTGTCCTCATCTGGTGGGGCAGCAGCTCCGGCCTGAGCCTGCTTAAAAACCACAGCGCAGAAGTCTTTAAAAAGGTGTCTAAAGTGTCTATTAAGTTTAATAAATCCAAAGATAGAGAACATAGTGTGCAATTTCTGTTAAATTAAGTTAAGTCCAATAAAGGGAAACACGGCACAACTTCCTTGTATTCCCAGACAAACATTTTGATATGTCATAGTAGAAAAAAGGCCTTGATGTAAATAATAAAATGAATGGTGGCTGAATTCCATTTAGCTGCTTCGGTTTCAGGGTCCTGGTATTGTCAACGCTGGCTCACTGTCATGGCTTACTGGGACACTTGAATAGAATGGAGCCATTGTTAATGTTAACAGCTTTGCTTTTCTTACTATGACAAGTCAAAATGTCTGCTGTGAAAAGGGTCTATGAAGATTTGAATTACACGGAACAGCTCATGCCTTTTCCTAGTTATACTATATAACATTTGCTATGAACATAATAAAGAGGAGTCAAACACTTTTATGCTATTTCTTATAAAAACTGTAAGTTATTTAAAATTACACCGATTATAAACATGAAATATTGTAAGCTAGACAGCGTGTGAATTCAACTGGAAACAAAACATGACATTGTGAGTGTAACATTAATATCTTTATACATAATAAAATGTAACACCTTAAAGCTGAGCCATTATTGATGACTCTGCTCTGAGTATGTCCACTACCACCGACAACTGACACTGCTTCAGAGATCTATGGTATGACAAGGTGAAATGCATGCGTGCAATAGATAAATAGATAATACTTATTCCATATATTATTCAACAGCACCCTCTTGTGAAGATAAATACCACTACACTAGCATTAAGCCTTGGCTGTAATGGCATCCCTCCCTTGTTGATGTTAGGTATGTACAACTAGGTGGTAGAGGAAAAGTGAGTGTGTGTATGGGGGTGAACTCACTGTGGTCTGTGCTTGTTTGTCCAATGTAGACAGCAGGACTTGTATTCCTTTAGTGTAGTAGTTCACTGCCTCCTGGCCTGTGTGGATTTGCCCCAGGTACATGTACTTACTGTGGCCTACATCTGGGTTCAGCTCCACGGCACGCAGAAAAGCGTAAAAGATATTTGGTCAAGGAGGCTCACTCCACTCAAACAGCATGGCTATATATCAGTGTTTTAAATGAAATGACTGCGTTACGGACATGCACACAACAGGAAAGAATAAACCTGCATAAAGGATATTCCCTTAGCTTTCTGCGTGTCTCCTAGTTCAGAGAAGATGTGTCCCTGCATGTCGAGAGCTTGCAGGTTGGTGGACTCCACATCCAGGGCCCGTTGACAGAAAAGGCCGGCCATCTCAAAGTCAAAACTGTCCATGTACTCCTCCGTCTGTACAACAGATGATCACATGATATAACAAGCATGTAATAGATGATCAGAATAAAACATGCATTTCAAAAGACATGTCTTTGATGTGGATGTATTGTCAATGTCACCTTTTCTAGTAGCTGTTGCACAGAGTACTTCTCAGCTGTCTTCTTCTTGGCTTTTTCATGTACTCTTAGTTTCATCCTTTCTTGAGGTGACAATCCAACAAATCCTGCATCTGCTGTGATCAAATAAGCGGAGAGTCAGCGTTAGTTTTGTCTCATTTGGTCTCGTTAGGAATTTAAATCAAAGCATAACAGATTAATTCACATTAACGTTAACTGCTATCTGAGAGGTGGAAGTTACACACTAACTAGCAAAATGGTGTACCAATGAGCAAAATTACTGTTTGGGCGATTGTCTTTCCTCTTCGGCTTGGCTTTTTTTTTGCCCTTTGCTTGTCCTCCCATGGTGGTAAAAATACGGCTTATATTTCTATAATTTCTGCCTTCAAAGCAGACTTTTTCCAAAGTGTGAATCTTACACACGCGTATAACAACTGAGCTGGAGGAATGCAGTGCGCATGCTCCAAACAGCGACTTGGTGACTGCTACGGAGGGAGGTAATGGACATAACGAGCGGTTTGAAATAATAGGAATAAACCTTTTTACACGGAAAAAGGTCTGACATTTTGTTAGACATTGCGTTTGAACGCATGATTTAATACTGACGTAACCTTAGAATACCACAGTTTTAATTGTTTTTACCCAAGACGCCGTTAAAGCGCGCTTTAAATGAATTAAACGGTTCCTTGTTTGTGGGCGGGTGCTCAATATGATTGACTAGCTTGTAGGCCAATGAGGTAACTCCTTGAAGCTGAACCCCTTGACGCATGACGAACTTTCTGTATTTCAACCAATGGGCAGCTACGTCAAAATGTACGCACACTTTTTTTTTTTTTTTTTTAACAATGCTGTTGTAAATAAACGATTGACAGAGACGCTGCTGATAGTGAAATTGCTACCAACATATTTTATCAATCCGGATTCACGTTACTCGACTGTGTATCAAGGTAAATAAGCTTTAACGCCATCGAACTTAACGGCAAACCGTATGAAGTCATACAACAACTATCGGCATAGCTACAGCGTGAGAGGTAACTGAATGACAATGAAAGAAATAGCTGCTAGGAGTAATGCTAATGCTAACTGCTGACATTATCAAGTCAACTCAGCTCTTTTAAAACAATAAGTAACGCCGTTATTTCACTATAGTTTAACGAGTTAACAACGCCTCGGCAGAAAATAAACTTGTTAGCCGTTATCTTGCTCTCAGTACTTCATTGCTAACCTCGCGCTAGTGCCAACTATTGGACGTTAACACAACTGTTAGCTTTGTCGGTTATTACTACGAGAGAGTAGGCTATATATATATATATATATATATATATATATATATATATATATATAAATAAACTAGCTATATCGCGCCATTGTCGCCTTATGCAATAAATCTTTTATTATCTTAATTAAAATTATCTTTAGTTTAAATTATCTTTTAAAAAGTGTGTTCCCCTATAGATAGTGACATTAATGCTTTTGTCCCATTACTTCGTAGGCTTGTGTGGCTACGTTGATGTCATTCCCACCCGCCAGTTTGCTGCCAGCCACTAGAGTCGGACTGTGTCGAACAGCACAGGTAGCTTGTGGCCAATGTCACAGGCTCCACCTGTCGAGAGAAGGGGACTATCAAAAGAAAGCTCAGAGAAAGCTACCAAGTTGGCCCTCAACAACAGACTTCTCTTGTTTCCTTGTGGCTGTTGGACTGAGTAGGGGACTCACCAGCTGTAAAGAATTGTCATGTTGGATTTAAATAAAGAAGTGGTGGATTTGGTTTGGGGGAGACCCTCTAGTGGAAGAGTGTCTGCCTCCATCTTCCGTAGATGGACCCAAGGTATGATGCTTTGTTTCTGAATTATTATATGAATTAAAGTGTTTTTTCGCAGAATGGGAAATACACTCAAGACCAGGGTAGTTAACCCATGTGCAGTTGAGAGCAAAGTGTATCCCGGGTTTTAATTCTAACCAAAAGAGTACAGCAGGTAATTTCTCCTGATAGATCCTCCTCTCCAGCTGAATGAAGGTCAGATAAGTAGAACAATACAATTCTGTCGTGTAGTGATTCAGTGTGAATATTGCACATGATCCTGCTCTTCAGTTTAGCCGGTGGTCGTCAATGTGAGCATGCATGCACTTGTGGCTTTTTAATGTGTGCAGGATGAAAGTGTCTAAAACAAACAGCCTTATTTGTTGTAGCTGAACATTTTTAAGGTTGTCTTGATTGTTTTTATTACAGGATTTGTTTTTTGTGAGAATGAGCAAACTGCACTGGAGCAATTTGAAGGAGGGCCCTGTGCTGTCCTGGCACCTGTCCAGGTATGGTCTAGCTCAACATCCTTGAAGTATTATCAGGGCCCATTAACAGTTTCCATTTACTCCCATTTTACAGTCAGCCAGCTTTTACACCTGGCGCACTTACTTGGTAACTTAGTCTGTGAGTCTTATAGCTGTATGCATTGGTGGCAATGCTTAATTGACTAAAAAAAATGATTGATCACACACAAATAAAGTACACACAAAAGTCTGTGAGAGTGCATCAAAGTGCACCATGGAATATTTTGTGTTTGTGTTTCTTTACAGGCTTTCCTCCTAAAGAACATGCTCTTCAACAGAGAGAGTTCCAACTGGAGACAGATGACGGGTAGATTGTCCACACCTTGTGCTATTGTTTTAAATATTTGTGTGGCTTGTTATGTCATCTATCTTTTATGTTTGTGTCTGTTTTAGAAGAGGATCAGAAAACAGCACTGTGTTCCACGCTGAGTGAAATCCTGGAGTCTGCCTGCTCCAGCCCCTCCACAGGGTTCTGCCTGGTGACTTGGGCCAAGGGACAAAGCCCACATACTAGCACACAGTCACAAACACAGGACATGCCAGAGAGCAGCCAGCCGCCACAAGAACAGCAGCCCAGTGAGTCCTATGTCTGTCACACTCAGAATGACGGTGTACAAACAAATTCTTACTGATCCATTTAACAGTTTGTAGATTTTTTTCTGTGCCATGCTCTGATGTTACCATGTATGTGTGTTTTCATGTGCCTAGCTGCTTTGGCTGCTGAGGACCTTGGCTTTGAGCAATTTCACAGTGCTGTCCAGTAAGTGACTGCAGATAACACCTTGCATATTTATACTCGTATCTGTCTCTACCTCCAAGCTGTCTCTACTGTGGGTTTCTGGAGGGATTAATAAGACCTCACAAATCCTTGTTTTACCATTGCCATTATGCAGTACTGGGATAGAGAACTTCATATTTCTCAGATTAGTATCAGCGAAGGGGATAGGTGGTATTTGATTCATCTAGTCTGCAAGAATTGGCTTTCACATTGAATTGGCTATTTCACTCTCACAATTTGCAGACTCAGCACTTTCACTGATTGCCTAGTTAAAAACAAAAAACTACCTTTTCCCAACCCTTCTCACACAGTTAATGTCTGTCACACACACCCAGACTAAGTGTATGCAAGGCTGCATTGGCCAGTGGACATATTGATTTTCCATCACACAGCATACTGGCAGCTGAGACCACGGTCAGCAAAAAGCAGTGCTGACTCACAGTAATGAAGTTCATGCTATCTATGACCAACAACTCCACTTGCAAGCTTTCCAGGGTGGGGCAAAAGAGGGTAGTGGCTCCAAATAGACAATATTAGATTTTTCTTTGCCCTCTGATGCATTTAATTGATTTCTTCCACATTTTGAAAGTTATTTTTACCAAGTAGACATGACAAATACAAATAATACATCAGTCTCATTGATCCCAAAACCCAACAAATCTTCTGTTTTTGGATTGTTTCATAAGTTAACCTGATGTTTGTTCCCATCCGGCAGTAAGTGGACTGTGACGTCAGTGTCTGGTCTCAGAGAGGAGGTGTTGTCTCTCTGCCACACCTGGAGGGGGTGCTGTGGAGTCCTGCTATTCCTCTACTCTGTCATCCTCACCAAGGTAAAGAAAAGGCTAGATAGAGAGATGGATATAAATATTAAGTACTGATTGGCAATGTTGTCTCTGATAGCATATTTATAACGTGATAATCAAATAAGACATTTTTAAAAATCTGTTGCAGGTAATACGATTTTTATTGTGTTGTATCATTTTTAATCATTTTTCTTTTGTGTTGCATCAATGTTCAAATACACAAAAAATGAAATGCGGACTTATCTCTTCTGTGCAGGGCATGGAGAATATCAGAAATGAGATCCAGGACACGATGGAGCCTCTCATAGACCCTGTGCATGGCCATGGCAGGTATTAAAACGCCTTTCTTCATTAGTTGCACAAAAAAAAGTTAAACGTCATTGCAAGATCTTTCTTTGTGTGGTTATGTTGTGTTAATCTAATGTTGGATATCTTTTGTTTTCTCTAAATCTCTTGATGTCTCCTTTCTTATCTATCTTTTCAGTCAGAGCCTGGTGAACCTCCTTATCACTGGCCATGCTGTCTCTAATGTCTGGGATGGAGACAGGGAGTGCTCTGGCATGAGTAAGAGTTACTGCATCCGCACAGACGCACCATATTCACACAACAGACATGCTCATACATCAAACTTACAGAACTCAGTTTTGTGGTACCAGATTTACATTTATCCACCAGAGGGCAATACATCTTACATCCCACAGCAGTGTGCAACAGGCATAAATTAATGCCAGTTTGATGTAATTTAACAAATTCTTATTTTGTTCTTTTTTTCTCCCCGTCGTCGTAGAACTTCATGGTCTTCATAAACAGGCATCAGTTGGCTTCCTCACGCTTATGGAATCTCTCCGCTACTGCAAGGTACAGACTCATACAGGTTCCCAAAAGATTATGCAAAAGCAAAGATTGTTCATGGCAAATACACATAGGACTAGTAGATCCTTTTTTGAAGACTCTATGAATTGAGACATCTACTCTATAAGCAGAGAGAGTGCTTGGAAAACAAATAAACAAATGAATGCTCTCTGTTACTAAGATGTGGGACATGTCCAACATTTGAACACAAACCACAGTGAGAGCTAACGTGTGAACATATGTGTTTGGAGGAAACCGGCCCAACAGACTAATTGTAAACCCTCTCCTACTCCTTCTCACTACGCTTTTATTTTCTGGCACACATGCAGTGTACTAAACATAGATATTTGTAAATACATGTAACGGGACATATTCGTCTTGAAAACAGGAATCATGTTTGGAATTGGAATTTATTTATCATTGCCAAAATAAGTAAGCTAAAAAAAGTAAGTAGCGATAACAAGTTAAGAGCAAGTAGATGTCTGCCAAAGAGGGCTGTTAAGAGTGATTTAAGAGCCCAACTCATATCAAATAAGGAGAGGTATGCTCATATCTACGCTGTTCATAAATTTGGTTTGTTCGTCTCTGGCAATCAAGTTCAAACTGCATATGTAGATCAGTAATAAGAGAAGATCCAAGTGAGAATGAGTTAAACATTAACATTTATGGTTTCCATTTCATTAAGTACTATTTGTTCAGGATCCGGAAAGTTATTATGCTGTTCATGTACTGTGACATGTAATCTCTGTTCAAATATTAATGTACGTGATGAAAAGCCTGATGTTAATCTTTTAGCAATTACTGATTCATGATGAAGATGACTGAAAATAGATACTCATTTGTTGCACATTCCTTTATTGTGTGCGTGTGTGTTTCAGGTCGGGGCATTCCTCAAGTCTCCAAAGTTCCCTATTTGGATCCTTGGCAGTGAAACTCACCTCTCTGTGTTTTTTGCCAAGGCAAGTTCAATACACTCATCCACAAGAAACACATATTTCACTTGCAAAGACACACAGTGCGTAATGTGAGCCAGTCTCCTCAGCAGGTAGGGAAAACCAAAATATGTAATGTGCTTAACCGATTTAATATAGTGCAGGTCAGATATCACTGTGGGGGAAAAAGAGGGGCAGGAGGGGAGGGGAGGGAAAATGAGTGCAGGAGATAGTCATATATGGCCAGTGCTGATCTATCCAGCATTAAGGGGGGGAAAACAAGTGCACACTTTCATCTCCATGCTCTCTCTTTCTCACGCACATGAAAACACACAATTCAAGTTTCTTAACCATCTGTGATCAACTAAACAATGTGTTCGTAATGTATGACGGTAATCTAAACTGCTGAATTGGGGCTCCAGCGAGAGCTTCTATTACAGTATACTTCTGTCTACCCTCACTGTTGGGTTCATTTCAACAATATGGATATCACACATTTTTCTGTCCTAGCACTTGTTCATAAGAAACAACACTCAGGAACTAAATAACTAACAGTCCCTTCAGCGTATTCATGTTTGAGCTTCTACTGCATCTCAAGAAATGTTAAGAAAAGGAAAATCAGATGGAGATTTAGAAGCAGCTGCTTGGTTTGAGACGTGTCCAAAAAAGCAAGACACCTGTCTCAAAGGGAGTAAAGGTCTCGTCTCCTTCATGTTTTTGGATGACGTACGCAAGTGTCTGCATGCAGTTGGGCAAAGGAAGTACAATGGGAATGCAATAGCAAAGGTTAAACGTGAGCATTTGTGATCGTGTCCTCAATCCAGTCGTAGTTATCATGTTTAATAGCCACAGATCATCCAGTGTTTCGATTGAACGAGCGACCATGTTAACTGGTGACTCTCGGTTCAATGCGTCCTTGGTTGCTCTGAGGGACGGCAGCTGTTGAAAACACAAACGGAACATGTGGGTGTCCTCGTAAAAAAAACAACCCTCAATCAATTTTAATTTAATTATCCACGCCAACCATTTACACAAGTTACTATGAACAACCATGGACGCATTTGGCTGAAAGTCACCAATTAACACAGTCACTCATTAAACTGAAACACCTGTTGCTCTGAACATGTGACATCCAAACATTGTGACGCTGTTAACAGTTTTAATTAAATGTTAAAAGCTTGCTAACTAGCCTGGCTGGCTGGGGCAAAACACTCTTCTGATGCCAACATGCACAAGCATATGTTTGACGTTCGGTCTGTTATAGTAATAACAAGGGCTTGAGTCCAAATGACTGCTCTGTTCAAGTTGTTGCATTCTGGATGCTTGTGTTTGACAAATGTGAGATTCTGTGCTGCGTAGTGTACTCTTGAGCTGTAGTTAGCTTTGTGTGAAAGGAAAAAGGGTTCCTGGGCTCTCTAAAAGGGCCATGAAGTCCTGCAGCATCAACTCGGATATGCACTATGCCACAAGGTATAGAATGCAGTACCTGATTGAGGTCAACCCTACTGTTGTCATTTTGATTGAAACCTTGGCTCTTGGATAGAAGTTTCATCAGATCGCTGTACTAGTGTGGATGTGTGTACACAGTTTGCACTCAGACAAGCATATTTATCATCTCTATCAGTGAACACGTAACACGATCCATTGCTGTAGCCTGTGAAGTAAGCTGGTAGGTTGGGTCGATTCTCCCTGCTGTTGTGAAAATGGCACCAGAGAAGCAGAAAAATCACCAGGCAATCATCTCCATCATAACGCCACACCCTTAATACAGCATTGATTAAAAGCTCCGTTACATGCATTAAGCTCTAGCCTGCCTGTGCGAGTAGATCATATGTTGGCTCAGTGATGAACCAAAGTCGTCATGCATGCGCTGATGACCAGACTTACCGATTGCTACAACTCCCCCTGGCACTAGTGACATGTTCACATATACACACACACATTCCAGAGCCCGGGGAACCTAATCCTGATTAGTATTAGTGTGTGAGGGTGTGTGTGTTTGTGTGTGTGTGTGACTTCAGGTGGATGGCTTCCTGTAGGGAATGTGATTCCAGAGTTCCCATCTGGATCCATTTGTCCCATTAGCGTATGGGAACGCACTTAAACACACATGCATGCATATGAGCTGACGCTACACTATGCCGCCTCTAAAACTTTGAGCCTAAGGAGGGGGGGGCGACATGGGGGACCGCACTCAGTGTGACCCTGTCTTCCTTGAAAGGGAATCAATGTTTGGAGCTAATTTGAAACACGCTGAGATTTCCCAGGCTTGGTGATACAAAAATACACGCTACCTGGTTATGTAGCTTTTAGCTCCGATACACAGAGCCATCCCCACAAAAGCAGAAAACCTGATCCCTGCTTCTGATGTGTCAGCGGCTCCTTCTGTCTGCCATCGGGGACGGGTGTGTATTCCCCTGGGTCGCTGTCAGTGTGTGACTGTGGCTTTCAGACCATCAGCTTAATAGCATTAGTGTTTTTTATCTAATCTACCTACACAAAGGCCATTCCACCAACTCTGATCCCTACCCACAACACCCCCCATATTCTCTATCCTGTGTGTGTGTGTGTGTGTGTGTGTGTGTGTGTGTGTGTGTGTGTGT